GATGGATATTGGGGAGGGTATGTGCCATGGTGAGCGCTGTGAATTGTGCAAGACTGATGAATCACAGACCTGTACCCCTGAGACAAATAATACATTATATGTTAATTTTAAAAATTAAAAAAAAGGAGTAATGCTAAGAACTGTATTTTAAAAGGTGAAGGCAAGTACCGGAAAGTAGAGCTGCAGGTGTTGAAAGTGGCTGGTTGCTCCTTCAGAGCAGACCTTGGAGATGGGGAGGGAGGCTGTTTTGGAGTTCTCCTTGCCTTTAAAATGGATTAACTTAGAAAGGTAAGAGGTAATATCACATTACCTAGAATAAACGTATTTAAAAGCATACTCTGTGAGAAGTCTTGCTCCTACCCTCATCTGTTTTCTGTTCCAGTTCCTTTCTCCACCCTCCACATCTGCCACTCTGTTGATTTTATACGTGTCCATGATGTCTTTTTGCAAATACAAGCAAGCAGGAATCCTGTCTTCTTCAGAAAGGTGTCGTACTGTAGACACTGACCTGGCTTGCTTGCTTCATTTAATATCTAAAGATCTTCTAATAATGTCAGTGTGTGTATATAATATATATGCTTGTGTGTGTGTGTGTGTGTATTCATGTGTTATGTATGGATGCACGAAGTGTATAACGTGTGCTGTATGTAATACACAGTACATACGTGTATTTATGCACATACGTTATATGTTATACATGAATATATAGTATATAGGAATGTATGTGTCCATATCGTGTATAGATATTACATATATGTGTGTGTTTATAAAATTCTGTTTTATAGATGCGTAGTATTCCATTACCTGGATAGATCATAATTTGTTAACTAGTCTCCTGTCAATTGACATTGACATTTGGGTTGTTTCCAAGCTTTTGTTATTATTAACAGTGCTGTAATATACATATATCATTTTGCATGTATGCAAATAAAAACCAAAGTAAAAAAGGCGTCTAACATAAAATAATTAAATTCATGTTAAAAATTCATAATTATTGGGGGGCGCCTGGGTGGCTCAGTTGGTTAGGAGACTGCCTTCGGCTCAGGTCATGATCCTGGAGTCCCGGGATCGAGTCCCACATCGGGCTCCCTGCTCAGCGGGGGGTCTGCTTCTCCCTCTGACCCTCTTCCCTCTCGTGCTCTCTCTCTCACTCTCTCTCTCAAATAAATAAATAAAATCTTTAAAAAAGAATTCATAATTATTTGAATTTTAAAGTCACGCATTGCAGTTAACTCTTATTCAAGGAGAGTGCTCACTTTGGCAGCGCATATACTAAAATTAGAACGATACAGAGAAGATGAGCATGGTCCCTGCACGAGGATGACACGCAAACTCACTTACTCCAGGAGAGATTGACCATTCATTCATTCATGCATACATCCATTCGCTACATCTGAGCTCCTGGCTCGTACTAACCTCTCTTCCAGTTCCTGGGGTTGGCACGGCAACCATTCCAAGTCCCTGCCCTGTAGTTTACAATGTGATGCGTGGAAACTGGGCTCTGAGATGCCCAGGGATGGCACTGTGAGGTCACTTGGCAGAGTGGAGAAGTGACAGAGAGGGACTGGCGCGTAACGCAAGCTCGTTCTGCTACACCTAGTTGCTTAGATTTTCTGTTGTATTTATTGCTTTTCTAACTTAGAAGAAAACTTACTTTGCCTTTTTTTTCAGTGCAGAGAGCCATAAGGCAGCACACAGTAGTGGGAAGAACATATTCTCTGGTGTCAGCCACACCTGGATTGCGTTCCAGTTCTTGGACATCTTAGTATTTCTGAGCCTCAGTTTCACCATCTAAGGAATGGGGATGATAAATGTAACAGGGTGGGGGGGTTAGAGCACTAAACTAATGCCTGTACAATGTTGGGGACATGATGAAATAAGTAGTACTTTCTATAGTGTTAATTGTATTTTTAATACAGCGTGTTACTTGTGGTGATAACGTAGCCTTGGGACATCTCCTGAGGACGGAGCAATGACTTCGGCTTGGAGGCTGTTTGGGAATCTGAGGAAGGCATCTTAGAAGAACAGGCTTTTGAGCCGGATGTTGGCAGCATAGGGAGAGTGTGGGGAGACTGACGGGTGTACGGACGTCAGAAAGAAGGCTGGGAGGAGGAGGGTAAATGGAGAGGTGGTGTGACCAATTCACTCTCCCGTCCTGAGGCCTCTGTCCTGTCCAGGCATTTTTAACACCGCCTCCTATCATCATCTGAACCAGCCTGTGTGACGTGTAAGCAGTCCATCCCAGTCCATCCCAGTCCATCCCAGTCCTGGGAAGCCGGCCACTGGCCACTGGGGTGGTTCTTCCTTGACCTGAGTTCATGGGTGACAGCTAATGAAGTGACTTCCTCCAGAATCAAAGTGAGCTCCATTGCAGTGAGATGGATAACTGTGGGCAAACCTTACCCAGAAACTGAGACTGTTAGGAAGTAAATATTGGAAGTGTTGGATTCTGGCTGTCACATACAGCATTTTATTTTTTCTATACACTCAGCTCCAGCTGAGATGCAAGCTGTCAGCTGGATTTGAAAAAATATTCCCGAGAACCACGATAATTGTATCTCTTTGAAATTGGGATTGCTGAATTTAAAAAGTTGAAAATTAAAATATGAAAACATCCCTTTTTTTGTTTACACAGACTGGCTTGCTCAGTCTTTCCCTCACTTTGGTTCTTTCTCCCTTTCCCTTGAAAGATGGTAACTCCTTGTGTTCTTTCTTTTGTTCAAAAGCTGTTCGTGCTTACATTAAATGATTTCATACATCAGTGGGGATTCAGCCTAATGACTGGGTCAGGCTGTTACTTCCGTGAGTGAAGAATCAATGTCAGCTCTTTTTCTTGATAGTGTTGTACATGTAGACCTTCTTCTCAGGAGGAACATATACTAATTGTGTTTCTGATTAGCTAGAGTTGCCTGATAAAATACAGTATAAATATGTCCTAAATATTGCATGATAAAAAAAATGTGATTTATCCAAAGTTCACATTTAATTGGGAATCCTGTATGCGTATTTGTTAAGTCTGGCTGCCCTATTCATCCCCTTTCCTTCTGTGTGTCACATACATTTCCTGAGAGTAACCTCATGCGGGCTCTCTATTGCTGTTGTGATTTACTGAGGCTCTCGATGCCGGTGGATCTAAGCCTCCAGTGACCAAGCAGAATAGCAAGAATATTAAATTTATTTATTAATAAGATATTAAAGACATTCATAGGAATCAAAGGGTACAAAAGGCTATTTGCTTAAAAAAAAAAAAGGCTCTGTCCCTGCCCTCTCCCTAGTCATAATAAATATTAATGGTTTCTTGTATATTCCTCTAGAGGGTAATTCATTTTCAAGCAAATTCATATTTATATTTCCTCCCACCCCATTCCCTTTTTGCACAAATAGTGAAGACCATAATCACTATTCTGCATTTTCTTTCTTCGCGTAACAATAGATCTTGCTAGATGCCAGCACGCTAAGAGTGTTCTCTTTCTTCACAAATGCAGGGGATTTCATGTTAGGAGCAGACTGTAATTTATTTAACTGCTTCCCCACTTATAGAAGTTTGGTTGCTTCCAGCCTCTTGGTTAATACCAATATTATACCCAGGAGTAACCAGCTGTGCATATGATTTCCTAAGTGCCCAGGCATATTCATGTCATACATTCCCAGCAGTGGGATTGCTTGCTGGAAGGACGAAGTGCCACCCTGCCCTCCAGAGACACTATGCCAATTACACTCCCATCAGCGAGGACTGAGAACGCCTGGGTGGCCAGACTCTCACCAATAGAAGAAGGTGGGAAGGTTTTTTCATATATGACCATCTCGTAGGTGACAAAATGATAGCCCTTTTTATTCCTGACTGTGAGCCTCTTTTGAGGTATTTAAAAAGCATTTATATTTTCTTTTCTGCGTTCTGTTTATGGACTTTTTCTTTTGGATGATTATTGATTTGAGGGCATTCTTGTTTATTAGGGAAATTATTCTTTGTAATGTGAGTTGCAAATGTTTTTCCCACTTTGTTGTTGACACTGACTTTATATATGGTAATGTTTCTATGAAAATTTTTATTTATATCCCTACCTTTTATTAATGGATCAATTTATTCATATATTTTTTAAAGATTTTATTTATTTGACAGAGAGAGCACAAGCAGAGAGAGTGAGAGGGAGAAGCAGGTTCCCTGCTGAGAAAGGAGCCCGATGTGGGACTCGATCCCAGGACCCTGGGATCATGACCTGGGCCGAAGGCAGCTGCTTAACCGACGGGGCCACCTAGGCGTCCCCATATTTTTTTGTTGTTGTGACTTCTGAGTTCATATCATTCCTAAGCCTTCCTCACTCAAAGATTATATAGTTATATCATTATATATAGTGTCCTGTAGTTTCTTTTCTTTAAAAAAAAAAA